CCCTTTTGAGTGAAGACATAGTCTTTTGGGGTTTGTGGTGTCATGCAAAGGGGACAAGATGGGTACAAGCCATTATGGACTAGCCAACACCCAAAACAGTGACTAAGGCAAGAAGTTTTCATGGTTTAGCAACATTTTACAAGAGGTGTATCCGAAATTTCATCAGCATAATAGCACCCATTACTGATTTTAAAAGTAATGAGGTGTTTGAGTAGACTTCGACTACTGAAACAACTTCAAATTGGTAAAAGAAAGAATGATGAATGCTTCTGTCCTCGCACTTCCATACTTTGAAAAGGTCTTCTGAGTGGAGTGTGATGCCTCGAAGGTGGGAAGTGGTGGTGTACTAGTCAAGAGGGCAGACCCGTGGCCTTCTTGAGCGAGAAATTGAGTGGGGCAAAATTTTAATTATTCTACTTACAATGTGGAGTTGTATGTGGGTATTTCAAGCCTCGAGACCCTGGAAGCACCACCTCGTTCAAAGGGAATTTATCTTGTTCTCGAACAGGAAAACTTTGAAGTATCTAAGTGCTCAAAAGAAACTGAATCGGATGATGCAAAGTGGGTTTGTTACTTACAAGAGTTAACTTTCGTAATCCACCACAAATCAGGCAGCCAAAACATGGTGGTTGAGCTTCAGTCAAAGGTGTTACCTCCTTGGTACATTTGCCATCACGGTGGAGGATTTTGAGTCCCTACCTCAAAACTCATGGTAACAGACCCATACTTCTCTAAAATCCTTGAGTAACTTGCATAACGAGAAAAGGAAACATGTGTTGTTTTTGTTTTGCATGTTGGTTTTCTCTACAAGGGAAGCTAGGTTCACTTCACATCCAAGTCATGGATAAGACATACGGTGACAACCTTTGCGGTCACTTTGGAAGGGAAAAGACCACAAACCTTGTAGAAGTCTGAAAGAGAAGAACTTTTGGCCCACACTGTAGAGAGACTTCAGTCGGTTCATGGAACACTGGCTGGGTGTGCCAGTTGGCAAAAGGACGGTCCCAAAACACTGGCCTTTACACTCCCTAATCCATTCCCGACCAACTATGGACAGATGTGAATATGGACAATGTGGTGGGGCTTCCCCGCACCTCGAGAGGGTGGGTTTCCATCTTCATGGTGGTCGATAGGTTCTTTACAATGGCCCACTTCATTCCTAGCTGAAACCATTTAGACACGATTCTAGTAGCTAATCTTTTCTTTAAGGAGGTGTTCCGCCGTCATAGTATACCACAACCCATAACCTTTGATCAAGACACGAGATTTGTGAGCCACTTTTAGAGAACCTTGTGGAAAAAGTTAGACACCAAACCACAGTATAGTAGTGCCTACCACCCTCAAACTGATGGCTAAACCGAGTCATCAACCGAGGCCTTCAAGATTTGTCGAGGAGCCTTATCAATGAGAAACCTTCTCAATGGGATCAAGTTTACCTCAATGGAATTTGCCTGTAACAGTTATGGGTGCTCATAATCGGTTCACTCCATTAGATGTGGTGTATGGTCAGCGACCAAGCAAGGTGCTTAACCTAGTCCCTTTGCCCAAAGGTGTGCGAGCTAGTGATGATGCAGAATCTTTGGCTGAGCACATTCAAGATCTTCATTGTCAAGTTTGGAACAGATTAAAATAGTGCCACAACAAGTACAAAGTCGATGCCGACTTGCACCGATAGTAAAGGACCTTTGAAGTAGGAGACTTGGAAATGGTATACCTTACGTATGAGCACTTCCCAAGAGGCACTTACCATAAACTTAGACATAGTAGATTGGTCATGTCCAGTACTTCAAACGATGGGGCAGAACACCTACAAGATCAAACTTCCCGAAGAATATGAAATTTCTCCAATTTTCAATATCTCTGATCCATATGAGTATCACGGGGCGGTGGTTGTGGAAGGTGATGCTAGGTGGGAAGCACATCTGCATAAGCAAAAAGGGGACAAGGTAGAGAGGATCTTGGATAGCTGCATCATCTCTATCCATCGAGATTACAGTCAATATTTGTTACAGTGAAAGGGCAAGTCAAGTGCCAAGAGTTCATGGGTTTCTAAAGAAAAATTGATGAAGATTAACCATACTAAGGACTTCATAATCGGCTCGAACTCGAGGACGAGTTCCCCTTAACCCAGGGAGATAGATAAAAAAAATAAAAGACAATTTTGTTAACATTTATGGATGTGTTTTATCTTTTAATGCTTTTCGTATGACAAGGGTATTTTTGGTAATTTTACTCTGTAATGGACCTTTCTGGAATTTACAGTAAAGCCAGGGGGTTTCCATTTACATATTTTTGGCCTAGGGAGAATTAGGCGAAATGTTAGAAATTGAATTCAAAATTTGCTCGGTGTAACACGCATGGCTTGGGGAGGGGTAGTGTCCATTAATGCTTCCCTGGACACGCACCAAGGAAAGTTCATTATGCATGGCTTAGGAAGGGATAGTGTCCATTAATGCTCCTCGGAAAGTGAAGAGAGCTTTGGCTTTGAAGCCAAGTCAAGTCTATTAAAAGCGGAAGACTTCTACCTTGCCAGAATCAACATTTTGCTATAAAATTTACAGAACTCAAGAATATAGTTTACATCATAGTTGTTGGAAACGATTCCGAATCCAAATCGTTTTAGGAATCGGAATCGCGGCCGGCAAGAAGATTCATGTTTTCGGAATCGACATGTGTACTAAAGGAATTATGGGAAACGAGATTGTTGTTTTATAGGAATCGAGATTAGACCAAAAATGGAATCTAGATCCCTACATAGATGGAATTGAGATTCCTAGCTCTTTGGAATCAATATTTTGACCTATTTAGAATCAAGCAATATAAAATCAAGATTTTTTCATTTATGGAATCAAGATTCCTAGGTATTTCAAATCGAGATTCAGACCAGTATGGAAACGAGATTTGAGTCATTTGACCCAGACAGGAATTGAGATTCATAGTAGTTTGAATTCGAGTTTCGACCCATCTGAAGGCATATATGCCTTTGGTACCAAAGATGAAAGCATAGAGATACAATTTTCAACGTTGCAAGGACAAGTTGTCTTATTTTTATACTCCAAGGCCATGCAAAAGAAGTTATGCTTGTCATTGTGACTTGCAATTCGCAAAAAACACTATAATGAAACTTGTTAAGATTTTAAATTTAGACTTTTGCGTTTGAATATTGACTTATGGAACCAAAACTTGGACAATGCATTCATCAGATGATTGTTCAAAGAACACATAAACTATGGAAGAATATCGTCTCCAGCTCCGGTTTCCAAATAACTCAAATCAAAATCCATAAGTATTTCAGCCACTTTATACGTCACATATTTATGTGCCTAGAATATTAGTATTTGAACTTATGGTATTACAATTAAAAAAAAAAAAACCAGATCTATGAGGATGGAAACAAGATACGATGTTTGATTAGTAATTTCTTGCATCTACGAAACGTTGTAATTATGGTATTACAATTTTAAAAGAAAAAAAAACAGATCAAGGTTCTATGAGGGTGGAAACAAGATACGATGTTTGATTAGTTTGTTGTTTCTTGCATCTACGAAACGTTGTAGTTGTTGTTCAGGAATCTAGATTCGAAAACATTCAAATCAAGTATCGTTATATATGGAAACCAATTCCAATAAGTGTAGACTCAAGATTCAGCAATTGCGGAATCAAGAATCAGTAAATATTGGAAACAAGATTCTATAAGTGTTGGAATCTAGATTCTTAAAATAACGAATAGTGAATCCAGACTTCACGGAAATAGATTCTGTGAAGATTCCTTGTCAGAATCATTGAATCAGGGTTCTGAATCTGAATCACGACCTTCGGTGAGAGATTCGAGTAACTATGATTTCCATTTTGGGGTGGTCCTTAGACCCTCATACAAGCCATTGAAGCTAGGAGTAGTTAGCTTCCGCCTATGGTGTTTGAATCACAGCTGCAGTCCATAGTTTCTACCAGATTGTGGATTGTTTCTCTCTTTTCTCTCTATTGTACATCAGCATGCCTGAGTTTTGGACGAGAAAATGTATGCCAGAGTATTTGCTATTTGTTCTAGGTTTTCAGATGATTTCATGTTTCTTACTTTTCTGAAATCAATTTTGCCCTTTTTGAGCAACTTTCTTTGGATTTTCTTTCCAAAATCTTTTGTTCACACATCACATGTCTAGGATTATGCATTCATATGGCTTATTTGGCTACTGAAGTGACAACCTTAGGGATTGGTATAGTTGAAATTTGACACTAATTTGATTCATTCTAGTTAGATGTCACAAGAAAGGAAGGAAAGATAGAACCTACCAATCCATTTTGCCTTAGTGCTGTTAATGCTTCACGATGCAAGTGAATACATACAGGATCCATGGGTAACTAGTAGAGACTAGAGAGCGTTTCATGTTAATAATTGATGATGGTATGTGATATTCAAATTGTGTTCTAGTTCATTATTCTCCATTAGTAACTAGTAGAGAGTACTTTCAGTTTATTATGGATTACAATATGTGATATTGAGATTTGTAATCCAGTTCATCAATGAACCATGAATATTCAGATGAATATTTGGTTCTCTAGAATTTGTACTAGGGGAGAAATCTTATCTGCCAGATTCTGCCAATGAACATGGGACATGTGAAGCATTCAATTAAGAAACTGGTCTTTCTTCAGTCCTGAACTACATTAGGTAAAGCACGCAATGTACTCATCGAAGGACCAAGCATATGGAGATTATCACTTTATTTGATGAAAGTTTGACAAAGAATATGATGAGCAAAATGGAAATGTGGGCAAGTCTTCCACTCAATGCATATTGCAAAAGATAATATTTTAATACATGGAAACCATGGAGCGTTTATATACCATTAAAAGGGTCTTATTTGATGAACTAATAATATACTCAGCCAAAAAATGTCATATATAAAAAAGAAAAGATAACCAAATATGCATTCAAGTTTGGCCAATGTGTAAAGGAACACGAACAAGAAGGAACAATAATCAGTCATTTAGGAATGTACCTGAAGTCCAAGGCCTAGTTCAATATTTCTAGCCTCGGTTATTTCTGGAATTCTATCTTCCATGGGCAATGGATATCCAAGAATTTGCATGACTTGGGGTCGACTATCAAAGTCCCAAACGTTCCCTCGGAACCTGTGCATACCTGGAGGAACGCATGCCCTAAAAAGCCTTGGGTGTGCAAAAAGTGCATCTTGTGGAGGCTGGAACAGTGAAAGGTGTTACTTCCCACATTTCACAATCGGACTTTACATGTATGGAGTATTCATGAAAAGGAAAACATCCAATGTGAGAGAGCGAGAGAGAGAGAGAGAGTTGGGATTTGGGATTTGGGATTTGGGCACTGGCTTCATTGGTTACTTGTTAATGACCGCAACCTAGCATCCGAGGTACGAACCCCATGCTGATCTACCTGCAGTGGTGAGTGCAAGTGTGTACAAGAGAGAGAGAGAGAGAGAGAGAGAGAGAGAGGAGGTCGTC